GAGCCACCGCAGGGCACGGGCCGCCGATGGCCGCGGAGACGCTCTCTGCCCCCGGGGATGTGTGTTGACCAGGAAGCGGGCAACGGAAGCGGCAGAAGCCAGCTGACGAGGCTGTGGGCGCACAGCGGGTCGATGAGCAGATGGGAATGACCTCGGGGCAGCGGCCTGCACCAGCCCCTCCTCGCTGCCCTCCAAACACCTTCCGGAGGCCTGGCTGGCTCCGGGGCTGCAGCTGGGTTTGCTGGGTGCCCAGGAGGAGGGCGGCCCGTTTATTTGAGTCCTTTGCCCGAAGCCGCTGGCCTGGAGCGCACGTCAGGGAGGGGGGCAGCGGGTGGGGTCAGGGGCCACAGGGCAGGGCACAGAAGGGCTGCCAGCGCCCTTCCCCCACCCCCAGCATCAGCAGCATTGACAGCTCGTCAAGGAAGTGAGAATAAAATTACCTCTTTATTTCCAAAAAGTGTAGGGCGGGGGAGCAACAGGATAAAAACTAAGACCAGTTCCCTACGGATCCATCGGCCTCGGAGGGACAGCAGCTCCTCCGGCCACGTTGCCACGGCAACTGGGGGGGCCTGTCGCACCGGATACTGGTCCCTCCGGGCTGGGGCTGGCCACGGCTCCCACGCTGGGCTTGTCCCTGCCCCGCAGCTAAAAATTGGTTAGTGGGTTAGGTTTCCAAAGGCAGCGGCTCTGGGTCCCCCAGGGGGCGGGCTCCCCTCCCACCTCACTCTCCATCCCTCAGCTCCTGGCCTCCAGCCCCGAACTCCTCCCACTCGCACGTCCACGTGGCCCTCACCAGGCCCTCCCAACCCCCCAGCTCCTCTGGCCACCTCCTGTCACCTTCTGGGCTCCCTCCTCCTCTGTCCCCCCGCCCCCCAGTGGTGGCCCCCAACAGTGACAGTCCCGCCACCGTGGCCTCGGGGAGTGAGCCTGGCTCAGCCCGCTGGCCGAGGGGCAGGTGGCCAGGGGCAGATTGTCACCACACCAGCCCCAGGGCCACCCCGTCCGAATGCATCCTGCAGCAAAGGTTAAACCAGCAGAAGATGCGAGCCGGCGGAAGACAGAGCCCTTGGAGAGGGTTCGAATGCTCCAGAATCTAAGGCGGCCCAACTAGGACAAACATCTGGACGGGGTGGGGGTGGGGCTGAGCCTACAGGCCCCTGAACTCTGCAGGGCTGCCCCCTGGGCCCAGGTCA